AGACTTTCTGTAAGTAAGAATTCCATTGTACCAGTACCGGTTACATATGGCAATAAAGTTCAAGTTCAATTTGCAGAGAGTAAAATCATCACTGAACCATGGATCAAAGTTTCAAACATAATTGAAAAACTGCAGGAACTACAGGGTGTCTGTCCTGCCAGGATGATCCCATGTAGGGACTATTTAGCTGTCCAGGAGCACATGAAAATGTAGCCACTAAAGGTGCGGAAATATAATTGTTCTGCCACACTTCACTGCTTTTTGAATTGCAATACCGATGGCATGCACTTTATATGGTGATGATTTTTTTTGGTACTTACTTGAGCTTCATTTGTGATGTGATGTTATCCAGTCATGACCAATTTAAGTCCTGACTAATCAATTAGAGGCAATCCTACAATTGTATAATAAAGAAAGCAAAGATATTTTTTTCATAATGTGTATAGTGTGCCAAACTAGGTGATCAGGAGAACGTTAATTAGGGTTACACCTGGAATAACTCCTGCAGCTTTGCAATTCGAATCTGTAGATTTGATCAACCACAGCAATGACAAACGGATGCCCCGCGACTTTTTTTGTTTAAAGGCTTAGGTTTCATTTTGAATCCAGACAGTAGATGGCAGCAGCTACCAGCATTGTGAATAGCAGATTTTTCTTCTTCATCATCTGTAAATTGCTTCAGCAAATCACATTTTTTTTCAGGTCTCTGGCTGTTGGGGGTTCAGTGGTTACCTGTTACCGGCTAAACTGGGGCTCTCCGGGGTTTTGGTGGATTAGTCCTGTAGTAGTTTATTCATGTACTAAAAACGCTGGGTACTGTGTTCGCCATCCTGTTTTTTAATTTTCCAAACTTGACTGGTGGTTTTGGGCCTTACTGTTGTGTCTGCTGGAGTTCTCTTTGTTTTGAGGTTTGACTGGGGAGCTGTGCCAGCGTGTGGGCTCCAGAACCGCAGTTCGAAGGTGACTTCCACACCGAACAGCAGAGCAAAGGAACAAAAACCTTTTGGCTGTGTGGGGGACAGGGATGTGAGAGCAGGTGGAGTGGTCCTTCATGAAGGATTATTTTGAATTCAGATGTTCAAAAGTATTCTTAACATAAGCTGCCAGTAAGTTAAGAAAATTTATTTTAAATTAGGATCACATGTGGACTTGGCAACTCTTTATGATCGACGAATTTCTTTTTAAAATATTCCCATTTACAAATTTTATCCTTTTCCTGTGGACTTCATCTCCCAGATTTCCATTTCTTTGGACACAGTTTCGCCTGTCATGTCCAGTTCTCTCATTCTTTATGCTTTTTTGCTGATCCAACCCTTTACTTTAGATTCCTGTTTCCTTTCTCATTCTCCCTCACTCCGAAGGAAGAAGCTTCACAGCTGAAACTGGATAATTTGTTCTATTTTTCAGCATGGAATTTACCTCTAATTGGTCTCTTCACATTTCTGCAGTTGCTGTAACAGAGCATGTTACATGGGTGCAGGTGGTCCCCAGCTTAAAATTATTTTTGTTTATAAACAATGAATGATTTTCATTGACAGGTAACACTCCGTACAAGACCACAGGGACGCAATGCTCTTTATGGGCACAGCTGAAGTGCTTCAGAAATATTTGTGAGCAACTCTCTTCTGTTCATCTCCATTTTATAAACTTTTCCCTCCAAGCTTTAAAAGGGCATTGTGCATGTACCAGGAATCAATTAAAACAATTTTAGAAACACCTCAGCAATGAATTATGTTTTTTTAGTAGAGTTAGGATGCTTATTTATATCCAGTACCCCTGTGCAAAAGAATATGAGACTTTTGATTTTCTAAGTGATGTTTTTCCATTCTACCCCAATTTGTATTTGGGTTAAATGCTCTGGTTCTGGACAAATTTGGAAGATTCAAGTATTGGTGTAAAACCCTGTCAAAAGAAAGTGAAAATCCCCCAGTTTACTGGGTTGTCCTGTTGTAGTTCTGCCTGTGAGTGATTAAAGTATGCCTCATGCATCATTGTCTGCCTCAGATTTTGTGTGATGCCTAAGGCCAAGCTACCATATCTGGTGGTTTGTGCCTGCCATCTTTTGTGCTTAGCATTTTGCCTCAATCGGTTGCAGTACATCTTACATTTACCTGTTGTAGCACAGCAGGCCACTACAGAATCCAAACTGTTTTGATTGTTAAATGCAATTTGGAATAGATACCTCTGACAGATGCCCAGTGCCAGACCTGAAATGCCAGCTGTGCTTATCCCTGGATGACATTTTGCTCCGGCAGCCCTTGCTTTTAATTAGCTGACAGCTTTTATTGGACACGATTGATTCTGGCACTGTGGAATTTCAGTGGCTTTCAGTGTGAAGCTTTCCACTGCTTTAAGCTGAACCATATTGGCAGGACATTTTTTTTTTAGATTCACACTTTGGCAAGGAGACGTGAAAGCTTTTAAGGGGCTGAGTGTTGTAAACCTTCTTCATCCTGAAATAAGTGGTATTGTTTGTGATTATGTATTATAGTACTTTATTAGTATGCTATTATTTGCACTGGCTGGCCCTTTGCCAAGCAGACACAAAAGAATGGTGTGTGTGGAGGACACCAGGACATCCACAGGATCTTTGATCCATTAAACAGTCTTGATCAGCTGTATTTAAACTTCCTAGTCCCCGATCTAAAAATAGACAGCTGATCTGCTGTAGAAGGAAAGGTTGAATCAGGCAACAGTAATTCAACCCAGATGGGAGTGAGGTGGCATAACACAGCAATGACATTTTCCACTTCTTGATTCTCTTATTTGGTATTTATTTTATAATGAAAATTATACAGGTCTGTGATTTTTGTTTACTTTCTGGCTGGCTCTGTAAAGCTCTCTGAAATGTTAAATAATGGATTGTTACAAGAAGCAACTTGCAGCAAGTGTGTTAAGAGCATGCAGTTGCCATGAATTATTGGACTAAAGCATTAATTTTCATCCTCTCACAATACTTGGAACCACGTCAAGGAACTGTATAACATGTAAAATGTAGAATTAGAAGTCTTCATTATATGATTCTGCTCCCTAGTACTTTGGTGATGCGAACTAATGCAATTATTTTCATAAGAAAACATTGATTGTTTAATAATGTATATAAAGTGAGTGTTTGTTGTTTCTGAAATATTTCTCTTCAATCCACCATTGATGCCTTGCAGTGCTGGGGCCCTGGGTTCAATTCAGGACCTGGAGTACTGTCTGCGTGGAATTTGTATGCTCTTCCTGTGTTTGTGTAGGTTTGTGTCCTGGTGTGAATGTGTTCGTGTCTGTGTGTGCTCTGTGATGGACTGGTGTCCCACCCATGGTGTATCCTGACTCGTGCCTGTTGCTTGCCAGAATAGGATCTGGCTCCCCCACAACCTTGAACTGGAGGATAGCTGTTAGAAAGTGGGTCCATCTGGTAACGGAAGGCTGCTTATTCAGGCTAAAGCTCATGGTAGCCCAGCACCTATCCCAGAAGTTTCAGGTTCCAGAAAGGCACACCAGACCATCACAGGGCAAACATACACAAATGAGTCTACCCTGCACAATTTTGGAAGGCAGGGGTGACACAGAAGAGCCAGGAAAACACTGATTAGAGGCAGAACTTGCAAACTCTACACAGATGGACTCCAAGTCCAGATCAAGAGCTGAGAGACAGCAGGACCAACAACCACACCTCTGTGCTGCCAAGTTTCCTGGTTGCTTGTCCTGTATTCTGCCAGGATTCTTGTTTTTTTACCTTATTTCTTGTAGAGGGGGTGTAGAAATGTTCTTAAAACGCTGATATCGCATTATAATGGTCCCCACTACATATCATTGCACATTCACCTCTATTTCCTTATATAATGTACTCATGGCTATCTTATACAAAAAGAGAACCCATATTCATTTACAGTCAAGTGAATTTATCAAGTTATTTCTCTGATGGCAAACTGACCAAGATGTCAATTCCATGGTAACTTTGCATCTGTCCCCCCCAATTTCATGTGGGAACCTAATTAACCAAATAATGACAGTTATCTCTATTTGACACAATAGGTGTTCTGTCTGTAGTGGGAGGTTTGCAAACACATTGCACTCTGGGATACCTGTATTTTAAAGTTGGCCAAGGTGAACTCTGTTCTTAAAAATTGTCTTGAGGCATTACAGTAAGTGTGAACTGTGCTCTATAGCAAAACAACTAAGTGCACAAAATGGAATCCAGTTAGATGCCCCATTCTAGACCAGAGCTCCCTTTGCTGAAATTCAACTGCATTGGTACAATATACAAGCTGCATGCATTGATTTCTAGTAAATGGAACAAACAGCACTGCTGCTGGGAGGAATAATTTAATTACATTCGGCAGGATCCATCTGACTATGAAATCGGACATGACCGATTGATCAAAGCACAGGGCAAAACATATTGATCACCAAAGTATCCTTTGACAAACTCAGACCCGCCCAGGAAGCATCACAAAACTACATATATAGCCTACTTAGAAATTTATAAGCAATGTTGGAAGTCTCCAATCATGATCTTCTAATGAATTGTATGAGAAATAGAAAATGAACCACGTGTTTTTTTTCAATCGCGGTGTTCTTTGAGTCTCTTACAAAGTGTTAATGGATAATCAAACATTTTTTAACTTATATTATTTCTGCTCCTCTAGCATCATTTGAATGCCCCCCTCACCCCAAAACCATACCCACTCCTATCAGTGGTAACCCCCTGTGAGTCTCCCAAAGACCAGTGTCCAGGAGGAGACTTCTTAACAGAAGGTGTCGAATGCTTAGACATCCCGTGACAAACTTCCCTTTCAATTGGTGACTCTTTTTAAGCTTTGCACCCGTGGGTTCTCACACTGCCATTTCTGGACCTGGGCGATGATAAAACTAGGGGCTGCAAGTCTGAAACCCATCAAAATCACTTAGGTGAGAAGAGATTGAAATAAACGCCCTGACTGATTTTCACAAGATGATACCCATAGTGCATGTCTCAAACCTTCTGGAAATAAAGATGGTCTAGAACGTGTAGATCTTGTATTTTGAGGTATTGAGGCATCTTGATGTAATGTAGATGTAGATAGCTTAACATAAACAAAGGGCCATTAATTGATTTAAAGAAGGATGCCTTTCCTCCCTCATTTTGATTTGCCTCAGACCACACACACTTGCCTCAGATAGAAGACCTTATATCTTCAGCAGAATGAGACAAACCAGTATGGATATGCTTTATAAAAGAGGCCACTACAAGCTGTGTCGTAGCTCACTTTACACTTTTTCTTAAATGCCTGGTTTTTACATTACAGTTTAACCCTGGGCAGCAGCGGTACCGATTGGTACAGCTGACTTGACCGAGGGAACTGGGATGAAGACTAAGATCATGTTCAAGGGCACAACAGCAGTGTCACCATGGGAACTGGTCTACTACCCCAGTCACTGCTTTAAGTGATGTCAAAAATGCTTTCCTTCACGGAAATGCCACAGTCAGACTACAGAGCTTGTTTCTAGGAATCCATTACGCCGGATTTGTTGTTTTTTTTCATTGTCTCCTGCTGTTAATTCTATAGCAGTCATGTGCCAAACTGTTTAGATGGATCTTGCCAATTGAGTGTGTGTGATTGATTATATACCATCAATTTACTATATAGAAGTATTGATATGCGAGCCAGGGAAACTGCCTGCCTGGCTCAGTAACCATTGCCCTCTTGATCCTGCAGACGCAGAGTTCCAAAAGGTTCAGGTGGAAAAAAAAAAGGGGGGGAAATCTCGATAGAACACCATCAGACCAAAAACGATGATGTGATGTGAACATTTTGGCACCCGTGCTGCATGGCCCATGGGGATTTTATTCACCGGCGCCCACTGCACATCGCTGGAAGGTAACTGGCACTGACTCGCGGATTGATTTTCTGGGGGTAACTATAAGTTCTGTACAGTCGTCGGGCCGCTTATTTTGGTTGAAACCACATGTAGCTTCTGAAAATCGTGTGTTGGTGAAGGTAGCTTTGAAAATGTGACAGAGGGATATTGGCATCGTGGACTGTTCTGAGGAAAATGTGTCTTAGTTTATATTTTATCTCACAAATGAACGGTAAGTTATTTTTGTTGCATGTGTTGCTTTATAGCTGTCGGCTTTGAGGAATTGCTGCGGGCGTCTAAAGACGTAAATCTCTCTGGTCTTAAGGTAAAGATCATTTTGTAGTTTATTGATAGGTGAATTACAAGGTATCCTCCTGAACGCAAGCTTGCAAACTCTTTCTGGTGCATTAACGTTTGTGCATTTGGTGTGCAATTCGGGGCAAGCGGAGAATAGACTTTCACAGTCTGCAGAACCATGAACCTGTTCCAAGCACTGTATGTATCTTTCTTTGGTATTGCAGGGTGCAAAAGCTCATTATCCTTTTTAAATGAGACAGGAGTGTACAAGAAAATAATAAAAAATAAAAAAACAGTAGTGTAATTTTTAAACTAAAAGCCCTGTTGAATTGATCTAAAGAACAATAACTAATGATGTGACATGCCTGCTCCATTCTGATTTGGCTCAAGTCACACTATGTAATGACAAGTGCTTTTTATGATGAGCAGAGTGAGACAGAAGCTGGATTGTTGGGATTTACAAGATCCTGCCATGGGAAATCTAAAATGTGTATTGCAAATGATAAAATATCCAACTGTGATTCTATTAATTTTCTATGTACATTTAACTTCAACTTTCATACCCAATTTAGACTATTTAAAATGTATTTAAATCAACTATTAAAATATTGCAATAGTGTATTCATTTTTTAAGACTGTAATAAAATAATCCTTGTCCTTTTCCATTATATTGTGTAAGAAAAGGACTTTTCAGATGCAAAGGTTATATACAGAGCTGAAAATATTAACCATTAAATATTCATTAGCAAGTTTTCAGATGCCAAAAGATGTAATTTTGCAACATAGAGGTCTCATATAAAATAATGTTAATTTATAGCTTCTTTGAGAAAACTACCTTATGCATTATAGAACTCACTTTACTAAAATGTTCCTTGCATATTGGAGAGGGCAGATGCAGAAACATGCTACAATTTGTTGTTATTATTGTTATTAATATGTAGTAATAATCCAGATTCTCTTTTTGTATTTTGGAAGCAACACAAACTCCTACATTTAACCTTACAAATGTTTCCAGAAGAAATCATTTTTAATATTACCTTGTCTCTCAAAGATTTTCTTTCTCCTCGAGAAGTGTTTTTGCCAGGCCGGTTCATAAATTCCCCTCTGAAGGCTGCCTCTTATCCACAAATTGTGTTGTTAATAGGTTTTTAAATTGTTCACCCATTACATAATAGCAAACGGCGATTCAATCAAACTCTCACATCCCATGTTGAAATACAAGATCATCACTGAAAGCCCTTTAAATAAGTGATCTATGATCTATAGCTTTTCCTCTTTAAGTCCCAGATTCAAAAGAAACGGTTTATGACAATAAGCTCCTGGGAACATTGTGCCGCACCAATGGTGACCTGCATTTCAGACTGTATATGCTTTTAGACCCTAAAATGTCTTTCTCCCCTATAATCCCTCCCATTCTGCTCTCTGTAGCCCTTGCAAACAGCCATCTGTGTTGTGCTTTCTCAGGTTAGCTCACAGGAAGGCCAGGCTGAAGATGGGTGACTGGAACTTCCTTGGGGGAATCCTGGAGGAGGTGCACATCCACTCCACCATCGTGGGCAAGATCTGGCTGACCATCCTGTTCATCTTCCGCATGCTGGTGCTGGGAGTGGCGGCCGAGGACGTGTGGAACGACGAGCAGTCCGAGTTCATCTGCAACACGGATCAGCCCGGCTGCCGGAACGTCTGCTACGACAAGGCCTTCCCCATTTCCCTGATCCGCTACTGGGTGCTGCAGGTCATCTTCGTGTCCTCGCCCTCCCTGGTGTACATGGGTCACGCCCTGTACAGGCTGCGCGCCCTGGAGAAAGAGAGGCAGAAGAAGAAGGTGCAGCTGCGCAGGGAGCTGGAGGCTGTGGACCTGGACATGGCGGAGGTGAGGAGGAAGCTGGAGCGGGAACTGCGGCAGCTGGAGCAGAGGAAGCTCAACAAGGCGCCGCTGCGAGGCTCCCTGCTGCGCACCTACGTGATGCACATCGTGACCAGGTCCGGGGTGGAGGTGGGCTTCATGATGGGGCAGTACGTCCTGTACGGGTTCCAGCTCAGCCCGCTGTACAAGTGCGAGAGGGACCCGTGCCCCAACGTCGTGGACTGCTTCGTGTCCCGGCCCACCGAGAAGACGGTCTTCATGATGTTCATGCAGTGCATCGCCGCCGTCTCCTTGTTCCTCAACATCCTGGAGATCATCCACCTCGGCTACAAGAAGCTGAAGAAAGGGATTCTGGACTACTACCCTCACCTGAAAGACGAGCTAGACGACTACTACGTTAGCAAGTCCAAGAAGAACTCTGTGGTCCATCAGGTCTGCGTGGGCACAAACACCGGGCGCAAAGCCACCATTCCTACAGCGCCAAGTGGCTACACTCTGCTCATGGAGAAGCAGGGTGAGGTGCCCGGGTACCCCATTTTGAACCCGTCATCCGCCTTCATTCCCATCCAAGGGGATCCTAACGGAAACACGAAGAGCTGTCCGGAGAGCCAGAAGGAGTCTAAAGACGCCAATCCCAGCCCAGGGGAACGAAACAGCAACTCGAATAACACCTGCGGCGAAGCCAAATCGCCCCCTATTGACGGGTCCACTCCGCCAAAGCAGGACGACCCTGAGGACCATTCGCACCCGTCTCATCCCGAGGGCCCGGGCGAAGCGGTGTCCTCCATCTACCCCTTGCTCCAGGGTGACCCGGCCTCCTGCCCGACTCTGGCGGTCAGCTCCGGTCGCAAGCCTCGCCGCGTCAGCGCGCCCTGGAACTGTTCCACGGTGGTGGAAAACACCGGCTCGGACGGCGACGCGGCGCTCGGGGCCAGCCAGCGCCCGCGGTACAGCTTTGGCGCCACGCGATCACGGGCAGCCTCAAAGTCCGATCTCAAGAGACTCAGCCGGCCAGACACCCCGGACTCGATCGGGGAGTCGAGCTCGGAGTCTAAGCACAGCCGAAACTGCGACAGCCCGCAGACCGTCTCTCCCTCCCGGCGAATGTCATTGGCAAGTAACGCCAGCAGCAGGCGAGCCCCCACCGATCTGCAGATCTGAGCGTTAGTTTGATACCTTATCTATATGTTCACAGTAGTGTGCAGTAGTAGGGCTGGGCACAGCGAAGGTATTTGTTGCATGCCGTAATCACAGCCATGAAGACTGCATACAGTACTCATGAACTGAATGCTTGTTCCTTAACCATATGGTGTTCATGAACACTGCATGGTACTCAGGCTCTGAAATGGCCTGAAAATACAAACTTTAGTTAATTTCACAAAAATGATATTCTTCTGTGTCGAAGATCGTGTTATTTTCAAGGTCTATTCATACAGACCTTTCAAAGAAAACCCCCCCACAGTTTTGCCATTTGTTCTGATGTCTGGGCAGCAGGATCCTGGGCCTTTTCTTAACTTCTCCTACTTTGATCATGTGGCCAAAATGGTCTTGGAGGGATGCCTGCGTCTTCAGGTTTTCACCGAAGCAGAACTCTCAGGCACCTAGTGGACACCAGGCTAGGGACACGGTTCCTTTAGTGTCAATTCAATTGGGATGGAAAACCGGCAGCTACAGGTATCCTTTAGAATCAAAACAGAAAATCCAAAGTACCACACTTCTTAAGAGTGCTTTTTTTAATGTGCCACGTGCTGAAGTATGTATACGTGTGTATATACTGTACAGCATATGATATGACTAGAGCAGCATGGAGGCACAGTGGTTATCATGGCTGCCTTACAGTGCTGGGGAGGCATCTGCATGGAGTTTGTATATTTTTCCATGTTTGCGTGGGTGTCCTTTGGTGTCCTTTGAGTGCTTCGGTTTCCTCCCATAAACATACAAGTTAATTGGCTTCTTGGATAACTGGCCTTGGTGTGAGTGTGTGCGTTTGTGCCTGTCAGCCCTGTGATGGACTGGCGCCCCGTGCCTGTTGCTCGCCAGGTTAGGCTCCGGCTCTCTCATGACACTGAATTGGAAGAAGCGCTTAGAAAATGGATGGATGGATGGATGATAGAACTGGCTTCAGGTATGCCTTACAGTGATACAAATTTTGACTGTTGAGGGAGTAGCTAAAAATCTGAAAACTTAAATATATACAGTTGTTTGTTGTTTGGGTATGGTACACATTTTTTTCGATATTTCACAGTATATTGTCAACTTCCACAAATCAAAAATAAAAGTTTGTCAAAGCAAGATACTCCCTAAATCGCTCAATTAATCCCCCAGAAGTCATTTTAAATCTCTAAATTAATGAAAGGGATGGCTTTCCATCCGATCACAAAAAAAATACTTTTTAATTTATTCAGTAGTGAGTATAAGTGAAAGAAAAGAAATAAGATTGAAAATGTTAAGTTTCAGACAATACCGTGCAAACGTATGGGCAATGAAACATTTTATTAACCTAATCCAGCTGTATTATTGTGTTGGTTTTTGTTAAGGCAGAAAAGTCCTCTTTACCAAAACAATATTATATATATTCTAAAATGTCATAAACAGCTTTGTCTGTACTACTCAACTCTTCCACTACACAGAGCTCATTAAGGGGTGCAGTCAATGAACAATAATTTATTTCACTGCCCATATACATCAACAGTGCTGGGGCCCTAGCTTCAATTCCTGTGGTACTGTGTGGAGTTTGTACGGTATGCTCTCCCTGTATTGGCATGGGTTTCCTCCCACAGTCCAAAGACATACTGGTGGGTTTATTGGCTTTTGGAAAAATTGGCCCTGGCATGAGAGTGCGTTTGTGTGGGCCATGTGATGGACTGAAGTCCCATCCATGGTGTACTCTTGCTGGGATAGGCTCTAGCTCCCCTGCGAGCCTGTATTGAATAAAGAGGGTAGAAAATGGATGGACATAGACCGTATAAGAGATCACTTTATCGGCCATATAACAATTTCATGTATTAGGAATTGGTCTTTTTGCATGCCCCAACTTGCTTTCCACGAGACACACAGACAGAGAGAGAAGCTTGAGGTCAGAGTGCCGGGTCAGCCATTTATATGGCACCCCTGGAGCAGTTGGGGTTAAGGGTCTTGCTCTAGGGCCCAATGGAGTAGCATTCCTCTGCTGGCCGCAGGATACAAACCGGCAGCCTTCGACCCACAGGTGCAGATCCTTAGCCACAGAACGACCACACCGCTCCTCCATAGTAGAGTTGTCCATAGTGACTTTTCTTTATAAGAACCATAATTGGCATTTCTTAGATGAAAGCCAAATATGATAAAAGGGCATTTTATCAATTGAGTTGAAAAGACACGCTTTCAACAGTTTGGCAATTGTCTGTAAAACACAAGACGAAGCCTTCAACTCTGGGTTTAAAATTGTAAATAGCGGTTAGAGAGCCCAGCCCTACCAATGTATGGACTACAGTCTACTGTAAACAGCCATACTTACTAGAATCTTATAAAATATACTGAGATATTACATAAGTAAATTCAACTTGTTCTGTTTTCTTTCAGATCACCCTACTGCAGCTTTCCTCCATCATGAAAAAGCATTGATTTTATAGTGGCCTACAGCTTAATGAACATTATGCACAATAAATCTAATCATGTGGAATGGCCTCTTATGAGTATGTGCTAAGCAAGGGGTTACAGAATGGCATTTAATAAAATGCCAGCAAAATGACTTTGAAAATAAGTTATGGCTATTTTGCACACTTATTCTCTATTCTGTAGACTGTCTCATATGAAATGTACATTTTTTGATAAATTCAGATAGAAACATGTTCATGTCTGCTGTGATTTTTTTAAACTGCCAAAGTCAAAAGGAAGAAGGGACTGGCTCCAAGCTTGAGATAAGGTGTTTGACGTGTTTGACAAGGAATGACACTGAGAACAATACAGTAGGTGACAGAAACACTTTCATTCCTTAACAACAATGCCAAGAAAATCTGTTTTGTTGAAAACAAACATTTTCTTTACATATACAGTTATGATCTGTACCATGTAACACATGCCAAATGAACAAATAAATGACTAACAGAGGTAGCTACATGTTTGCATCATAACCAGGTGCTGTTGACTTAAAAGGAACAGCAAAAACCAACATTAGAAAAAACATAGCTAATAACAGGTGTTCAAAGAGTGGGAAAAACATGTCAAATCCCAGCATATAAGAATTAGCATCAGTGCAAAGTGTCATTTACATACTTGTATACTGTACCTTTACAGAAGAACATAATGGTTAGAAATTACAGAAACTGTCTTGCTCATTTGGCTGCTAATAGTGTATTAAATATCTATGAATACTTAAGATATTTAATACAGTATGTTTAACTTTTTTGGGTATTTACTAAACTAACAAAAACAAAGTGAATAATTGTTTTACTACTATATACAGAAGTAGGAAAAAGAACAGGTCTTCCTTTTTTTTTGGTATTAACGCAAGTAACAAAAAGATGAATAAGGTGCGTAATATTACTACAATATATACAGAACTATGGAAAATAACATTTTTCACTGTTTCCAAACTATATTATTTATTGTAACTCTTATGTGCTCTGTAAACCACATCAAGCATTTGGATACAGGCTTAGAGTGTTCTTTCCGAACTAGTGCTCTCATGGCCAGCAGGAACCCCTTATTCAGAACGCCCCTCTTCTTGCAAAGGCTCATATTGTAAAAGCTGCAAAGGCAGAGAAACATGTCAATTAGAGATCAATCAGCTTTAACGTTTTAATAAAAACTCAGGAATCATGCAAACTGTTTCACTTTAGTGCTATACTGGAGCACTTGGAACTATAAATATTAAATACTATATAAAGGAGATAGAAATATTGACCACCTACTTCATATACCAAGACCTCTATTGCACTCTGACAAAAATAAACAGATCACATATTCCAGGGAACATTTCAGCTTAATATAAGGATACAGAAATTCATTTCAAAGTGCCTTGAAATGCTTCCCGCATATGAGGGAACCCCGAAGTGCAGCCCCTTCCCGAGCAACACACAGCAGCCAATAACTCATCGGCAACTCCACTACTCAGATCGGGTTGGGAAATGAGAAATTACTTCAGTTACATTAAGGGGGGGGATTCTTCAGAATCAAGATGATACAATCCCAGAGTGGAATTCAGACAGGACACCAGGTTTAACAACTTTACTCACATAAACAGTGCCCAGAGATATTTAATGGCCAAGTAATCAGGACCCTGGTTTAATATCTCATCCAAAGGATGGAGCATCTTGCAGCACAGTGTCCCCCAGTCACTATGCCAAGGTATTAATCTGAACATTATGGTCCAAAGAGCACCACCTATTGGGGCACCAACACCATTAACCTGGTTTTCCTTGGTGGTCTCCCACCCCAGTACTGACCAGAAGCATCCCTGCTCACCCTTTAAGATTTGGGGAGATCAGGCTACAACGGAGGACATCATCACTGTCCAGTATCTTGAAGAAATCTGTACAAACCAAGTACCTTGTTCTTTAGCTCTTTGTTTTCCTCTAAAACGAGGTCGTATTTTTGCCTCAGTTCTGTAAGCTCAAGGCGCAGGGTTTCTACATCAGCGGCCTCAGGCCCAGGGACCCCCAGATGCTGCCTCAGAAAGCTGGCACAGGAGTCAAGGCTGGTTGCTCTTTGACGCTTAAAGGGTGGCACACATTGATCAGACATTATCTTGGCAATATACTTTGTACCCATTACATTCTTTTTTCAATTCATCCAATTTCTAACCACTTCATCCAACTCAGGCAAGCAACAGCTGCAAGACAGGATACACCCTGGCTGAAACACCAGTCCATCATGGGACTCACACTCACACTCCTTTAACCTACCACTATGATTTTGGATTGTGGGAGGAAACCCACACAAAGCCAGAAAGAACATACAAACTCCACACAGACAGCACCTTAGGAACAGAACTGACCCCAAGGTCTCAGTGCTGTGTTGCAGCAATGCTAACTATTCCACCACCATGTACCCCTAACTTCAAATAATGTAAAGGCAATTCATTTCTTTTAGATTGCAAATATTAAAGTTGTTTCAAAAATTCAACAGTATGACCATATGATTTTCCAGAAATTGCTTTTAAAAGATCTTGAAAAAGTGAATTAAAACTCACAGCCTTTCTAAACTTATACTGGTACTTCTTTATGAGTAGATCATAAAGAAAACCAGTAAACTCTTAATCCTATTAGGATTTGTTTTGAAGACAGTCTCTCACAGTATACCTTTGCAGTTCATCTTCCTCAGATGAATGTGCTTCCTAATTATATCTGATTCCCTGTTCAAACATGCCCTCTGTCTGATTGGGGAAGGGAGCAAGTGATCAAGGGTTTTATGGATTTTCTCCCCCATCAGGGAGAGTGTGCACATTAGGAATAGTTATTAACTAACGAAACAATTTGCAAATGTAATCATGAGAAATAAGGACATAAAAAACAATAAAAAACAAATTACACGGCGCATTAATAAATGTCAGCACAACATTACACAGTCATGACAACTCATGTTAATTAGCCTCCAAAATCAAAATGAGCAACATTTGATTCACAGGTTATTTAAGCCATGTTCTAAATTTGGCCTCCAGGCCAAGAGACAAGCAATTCAGGAGGCAACTGGAAATCCAAAAGCCACAAATGGAGATCTCGGACACAAACTGACACCTTCAGCATTCAAAGTTGCTGAAAAACTATGTCTGGCTGTGGTCTCAAATTCCAGTGAAACCTGAAGTGTTTAAAAACTACCATTTAATGTCACCTGCATGAATGAGGTATTCCTGGCCAGGTTGCAAGGAAGAGGCCCCTTCTGAGCAAAGTGCACAACAGGAGGAGACTTGGATTTCCCAAACGACACCCAAATGACTGGTTCTGGATCTCTAGGTCCTGGAGCCCTTGCTAAGACTGGGGAGTTACCCAGTATTCCTTCTACCAAGAAGCTCAAACTTGGTCAAAAATGTACATTCTAGCAGGGCAATCACACATAATATACACCCCACACTAACAAAGAAAAACTTAGCTGGGTACTGGGTGTATATATATATATGTCCTAGGTTGGTCATCTCAAACTCCTGACCTCCATCCAGTCAAGCATTTATGGTTGGAACTCAAGAAGGCAGTTAAGAAACAAAAGCCTGTAAAGGATTTAGAGTAATCCAAGATGGAGGAAAGTTTAGAAACTAGAACTATGCCAGAAATGCCTAGTACACTACAGGTGGGGTCTAGTCAGTGTAATCCCTGCCAGAGGAAGCTTTACCTTTACAATTTAACTACAGGAGTATGAATAAACACACACCTTCTGTTTTCTGGACTTAAATTATTCAGGCCAAATACAGCCTTATGATTTAAGGCAGATATTCTCCATGTGCACATCTTTAATGATTTTAGGTTTCTATTTCATCCTGGACATTAACAGATCTGGAGCAGTTAGGCAATGCAATAGGGCAAGATCTGTTTATTTCCCCATCAGAAATACTGAAGGATACTCCAAAGCATTGTTGGGCTTCTCCGTTTCTTCATATAGGGCAACCAGCACTGCAAAATGAAAACATAAAAATGTGAGTCCATATCTACTCAAATGCTAAGATACCATTAAACAGCTAATGCTTAGTCGAAGGCATATCCTGAGATAACACAGCAAACCAACCATTGGTGAGGCTGTCGAGCACCCCGGCCTTTTCCAGGTATCTTCGGAACTGCTCGCGTTTGGACTCGGAGGCCTGGAGTTGGGGGACAAAGCGAGACCCGAGTTTCAGCCTGGGCAGCGCTAGGGGGCGACAGCGCACCGCACGAAAAGGTGAGCCGCCGCCGCACGCAGAAATTAAACCTACGACGTGTTTATCAAGTATATTATTTCTAGGGAAACTATTCAAGGAGTATCTTGCAGCCTCATGCAATATGAGCCCGATTAGTATAACGAATATAAAGCATAATAATAAACAGTCAATTCTAATTGTTCGAAAAATAACCTACTGCTTACATTTCCTCATATGGCCTATCGGTATTAATTTAAATAGTTTTGCAGACAGCTTAGTTTATCCCGCTGGGCTAAAACGAGCTTTCCTCAAACTTCACACAACTTGAAGTTATTTTGCTCCCTACAGTACCACTTTCTAACAAATAAGCTAACAACGGCGACAAACAATAAACGGATTAACTACGGGAGGGAGCTTAGATCGATTACTAACTGAAATGAGTTTAATTAATAGTTAAAAAAGATTTGTTTTTCAATTAAACGAACTGTACTCACTCTGTAATGCGCCATGTTGGTGAAACACTTTCTCTTTCCAAACTGTTTCTAAACTGCGTCTCACACTGCGCAGGCGCAACCTTTTATATCCGGCCCTAACAAACCGTAACCAGGGGTTACAGTTGCTCGGCGATTGGTAGTTTCCTGCTTTTTTTAATACAAGTGGTAAACAAATAGTCATATTAAACAGCCTATTAAACTATACTGAACATCAAAAGAATCATTTCTATAAAAAATTCAGCAAGTTATTATCAGGAGCATCATTATCTTTTTATAGCATATGAACTGATATTTATATGATATAACAGACGTGCCGGGTGAATTCATCATGCTAATTAACATTTGTCATTTACACATCAACAGGGAATGTGTCATCAAAGTCGCAGTCTAGTAGTTTGTGTGACCAGCTAGAAGAAATACAGTGCTGACTCTGTCGCACCACCTGGTGGTCATTCCTGTATATTACAGTTTAAATGTGTTCTTTTTTATGGCTAATATTTACAGTATACTTCAGCCCACTTTTGTTCCGTGTTTGTCCTTTTGTTTTGAGCTGAGCAGAAACTGCATATTTCTTTTAAAGACAGCCGTGTTACTGCCTCGCAGCCCGATCACATCAGATCTTAGACACCTAGCATAGCTGGGCCTGGTCAGTGCTGTGATGGGAGACCTATATAGAAAAATAAACTGCAGCGGTAACTGGTGTTAATGGATCATAGGTGCTCATTTTCCATCCATCCATTTTCTAAGCACTTCATCCATTTCAGGGTCATGGGAGAGCTGGAGCTTATATTGGTAAGAAATGGGCAGAACGCAGAATACTCCCTGGGAAGCCAGTCCATCGCAGGACACACAGACACAAACACAGACACGAATACCAGGGCCAGTTTTCCCAGAAGTGAATTACCTTACCAATATGTCTGTGGACTGTGGGGGGTAACTGGAGCACCTAGAATGAGACATTCAAGCTCCACTCAGCACCCCAGGTCCTGAATTGACACTGTTGAAGGTGGCACCATGCTTTAGATGTTACATTAAACCTAACGCCTGCCACACACACATCAAAGTTCCCAGGGCACTGTTTGCAAGGGGTGTTAATCCTGTCTAAATTCCTATTTGGGCCTGTATAACGGCATGGCTGGTTCCTGACCTTCAGTGATAGATGAAGAGTGTTACCTTCTATATACTGTATGTAAAGTGCTTTTGGATAGAAAGGAAAAGCGCTCTGCAACCACAAGGGATTTTATGCAATTATAATTTTAGCTACACAGAATATCATAGCTATTTGTCCAGGCTGGCTACACGCCACCGTCACACATTTGGAAGAAAAGTGGAGGAGTGCAAATTTGGTTTTGCATGTATTGGAAAAATATTTGTACATTCCTTGGTAGGTTACATTCATACTTCAAATTCAGTATTGCAAATAATAAGCCTTCCTGCCTGAAACAAAACAGAATGGAATTTAAGATGGTGAATCTAAAATTCTGATTTCCGTATTGGTTTCAAATATAGCAGATACATTAGGAAGAGAAAACCAGTCCCATATGTAAGTGATCGAATATTTATTAACAAAGACTCAGATAATCCTTTCCTGGGGGAATTCCCATTACAATATCCTGTCAATATTTACAGTCTCCCTGTTCACAATTGTCCCCATAAGGCTATAATTTAGCCTTAGTTAGCAGTTTATGTATGAACAAAACAAAGAAAAAACATGCAACACACATTGAAGCACAATCAATGGTTGTAACAAAATTAAATGAAGCAGTACAAAGCAGACTAGGAATGCAGTATAAACAAATTGCTCATTACATGTGAAATCAACCTGAAAAGTGATGGATTTTTAGCAATTTTTATACCTACTGTAGGCTTCCTTGAAGACACTTTAACTTCCCTATCTACACATGCTACAGACTCTATCAGTAAAGATGGTGTTACAGATAAGTTAGCCTGTGGGTTTTCTCAAAATAGAACTAGAACTTTAACAGTTTTCTACCCAACACTAGATCACAATTTAGGTTCACTGTGATGGTGGTAGCAAAACATAAATACAGCTTAACTCTGTTCATATCCATCAAAGACATTTGTTGTTGTTTTTCTGCATGGCCCCAATAAATTCATTGTATTTGAGATTTTGAAACTATGAATCTTTGTAAAGGTCCACATGGGTTTGTTTTTATTTTCTGTTCTACAGAAATTGTATCAGTGTAGAAAATTACAGAGTGGACCTCCCTAAGTTTAAGAACAATGATTGCTTGCATGATGGATTGAAGTAAATGTAATGTGGTTCTGAATGCAATAAAGCATTTGCATATCCATTGCCTGAAGACAAACTAAATCTTTGCAAAAATGGGAAGCTATCCAGCAGACATTCTCTCAAGATCCTTGAGAACCTGTATTGTATTTGCTGTTGTGCAAGTGCTTATGTGTGAGGCTGTTGTTTTCTGACATAAGGTACATTCTTTCTGTTAAACAGACAGATGTTGGGCCAAGCTGATAGGAAAGTGGAAACTGCAATGAACTTGTTGCTTGTGGTAGAAGTATCAAAACAACCCTTTTAATGAAAAAGCCTGTCAAATTATATTTGAGTAGTTGTTCTGTTCACCACTGTGCTGTTTGGTTTTTTTTCTGGCAGGGGATCTTTATCACCAATGCAATCTGATGACTTTAATTTATCTGCTTGCTTGTTAAGATGTTTAGTTTACTCATTTCTGAGCTTTGAAAATACCAACTTCAAGTTTGTAATTTCTAACAACTTCAGCATGTAGAACTTCAACTGGTCTCTTCTGCTGTTATTCCTGAAGAAACAGCTATTAGAAGGTGATACATTTTTAACAGACACAGGTGGGATTAACAATGTGTCACAGTCTCCTATGGCATGCATTTCCTATCTTAAGATGTCCATTGGGCTAGATTTCAGGTAACCCTCGAACAGGGCAAGTTCTGCAATGTAGAAATTGGTACAGCTTTGATGCCATGTTAAAAATATCACAGAGCTGAAAGTAAACTCCAAAATATGCTCTATGTAGAAAGGCTGAAACTAATCAGCCTGGGATGAAGAACTCTAGGCCAAACCCAGGCGACGCAGAGTTCCTCTAGGAGCAGGGCGGGGGAGCCCCCACTCAAGTGAGCTGAGGGTCCCATTCTGAGTCCCTTGAAGGAAGGTTATCCACAACTTGGCCCCAACCCTTTGGGTAACAAGTTCCTCCTGACCTCAGTGTTGACATGTACAGGAACAACAGTTAATGCTTCCTTGTTTTTTTCAGGAATCTTCCACCCGACAGCCCCGGGCTGGACCGTTGTAAACGAAAGCGTAAAACTATTGCTAACTTCCTACTTCATTTACTCCACCTCAGTAGCCGTTTGCGTTTGTGACATAATGCCGCAGCCAAACGATACAACGTCTCTAACAAGGTTTCCTGTTTTGCTGCGCGATCTACAAAAATAAAAAACGGAAAAAAGTAATGAGTTTGACACATGTAAGCACTAACATAACCCGCAGACAACAGCCACACTGCAGGTTAAAGGTTGCTCGCCACAAACCCCAGCGCCAATCGCTCAAGTCAGGTGATTGCAAAACACATGACACGAGACGAACCACCCTGCTAGCATACGGCCACGGTGACTGACGTGGTACTGGACGAATGAGCTTGCGCGGTGTCCGCCGGCCGGCGAATCAGAAGCGCAGAAGGGGCGGGCTCTAGCAGTAGGTTGCGTTGAAAGAGAAACAGGGACGCAAAGATTTAAAGGAGAAGACGGAGAAGGGCTGAATTTTTTCTTTTATGTTAGTTGGCTCCTCAGTTTTTAAACTTGGACTTTTTATATTCGTATTGGCCTAGGGGAAAACTGCGAAGGAAGGCAGGCGGGGGGTACGGGAAAGCGGGATCTGAGAGTGAAAAATGTCGATTCAGTTCGAGGAGCCGCTGGCGGGGAGCTACGGGGTAGTGGACTCTTTCCCGAAAGATTTTGGGTATGGAGTGGAAGAGGCCGACATGGAAGAGAGCTCGGCTCCCTCCGACAGCAAACCTCGCATCTTGCTCATGGGGCTTCGCCGTAGTGGCAAGTCGTCGATCCAGAAGGTAAGAACCGAGGCGGACGTCCAATCCCTCTCCATGGTATTTTCTGTTAACGCCTTCATTTCCCTGTCTTGGTTACTGTGATGCCTTGTGCAACCTTACCTTCTCCAGATTGCCAGGACAGGGCAGGTAGCTCCCATCAGTGCAATCCTCGACTTCCAGCTCGGCGGCAGATCGCAATGTGTTGGCTGTATTGTTTCAAGTCAAAAGCACTGGGGTGGTCATTATTTTTTTACTGGAGTGGATGCCTGCTGCTAATGTACCTGGGAGAAAGGGGTGGCGTATCCTGGCATTTTAAAACCCGTGACTGAGAACACCCTCGATTGTCCGTTCTGTAATCATTTTGGCCACCTCCGATGCCCTGATGGGGAAAGGTTGATGTCGGGCCCATGTAGTTAAACCACATGCCTCGGGCTCTCTCACCCTGGACTTGATGGTCGGTGAGTAATTGTGCTCTTGTGAGCGCCCGCAGTGTCTGGGAAGCCGGCATCCAGACTCCTGTTCAGTGCCCGTGTCAGCTGGTATTCTGATGTGGCACCTACGAATGCAAGTCATGCTGCCCATGTGTTTCCATTGGGGATGCATGATATTATCATATCCTTTTGTTACACAACACCCAAGCTAATCTGCAAAAAGCAGCACGTTGCACTGCTGTTCGAATCGATGCTTTTTAAGTATTTCTTTTAAAGCAGTTGTCTTTTCTCTGTGAATCTGGTTTGCAATTGACTGTGAAACAGAAGTGTGATTCTTCTTGTATATATATAAAGAATTCTTATATATGATTATTCTTCTGAGATATATCTTAAACATGCAGATGTTGATTTAAATGCACGGAATTCAGAATTGATCACAATTTCTGCCTGAGCATTACTGTAAATTTGCAGTGCTACAGTATTGCAAGCTGAAAGCCATCATTGGAAGTCAATGTTCTTCGAATAACTTCTTTTTTGCAACGTGGGTGTTATTTTTGTGAAATGTATCCGTGTATTAATTGAAATCCCTCCCTCTTTTTTGAAATGTAGGTGGTGTTCCATAAGATGTCCCCAAACGAGACCCTCTTTTTGGAGAGCACAAACAAGATCTACAAAGACGACATATCCAACAGCTCCTTTGTCAATTTCCAGATCTGGGATTTTCCCGGCCAGGTGGACTTCTTTGATCCCACCTTTGATTACGAGATGATCTTCAGAGGAACGGGAGCATTAATATTTGTCATTGATGCACAGGTAAAACTAGTTTACAAAAAGGGGTCTTGTCGGAGGTTTTCAAGGCTGACAGTATGATGCCAGGCAGCAATTTGACTGGATTTAGAAAACCAGCATTCTGTGACTTTACCTTTGTGGAAGCTCCATTTCTAGGGACCATGAATACCGTCTTTGTACAGGGAACCGTAAAGATGAAATTCAATCAACTCCATCCATCTGTTTTTAACCGCTTTATAAAATACAGGGTCACAAGGGAGCCTATCCCAGCAGGCGATGGGTGCCAGGCTGGATACACCCTAGAGGGGATGCCAGCCCATCACAGGGCACACACAGACATGAACACTCTTGCTACAGGACCAGTTTTCTATCAATCTGTGTCTTTAATCTACCAGTATGTCTTTGGCTTACGGGAGAAGATCCCAGTTAACATACAAACCCCACACAGATAGCGCACCAGGTCTGGATTTGAACCCAGTACCCCTGGGTGGGGCTATTTTGCTTGATCATGAAGTTTCGCTGTGTAATGAACTTGTTTGTGGGTGAAGGGTTGAATGTGGAATGCTTCCAAATTCTGTTTGGTTGACAAAGATGCAAGGTAACTTGCACTATGCTTGAAAATGGTAAAATAGCATGACGACGGACCCACTTTTACAGAATTGAAAGGTTTTACCATATTAAGCCAAACAGAATTTGTCACTTCTTTACTGTATAGCCAGTCTTGCAAATGAAACGTGATCAACATACAATGTTTTTTTCCAGTGTTCCCATTGAAGTACACACTCTTGTCTCTGCTAAAAATCATTTTATACCCAAGGGAGAGTTTGTAGTTTTATTTTCTGCCTTCGGTTTCATAATCTGTCCCTGGCTTCTTGTAATATCCACTCAACATGTGTTAATGTGAAAAGACTACAAATAGATTTATTTTTTTTTCCAGGCTTTATGGCTTGTAGATTTACAATGTCTGCTTTACTTCCTAAGTGTTTATAGCTGTCTGGGCTCAATTGTGCAACTTTCAAACTTTTTTCCTGTGTAACTGTAAGTAATCGAGTTCAGGTGGAAGTGCAGGTGTTGTGGTCTGGTTTCCTCTACTGGTAAAGAATAACTCGAGTAGTGTCTCATTCAGGGAAACTTGAATGGCAGCTTCTTTATCCATTTATCTAAAACAACAACAACAACAACAACAAGATCCATACCTGCAGCAAGCTTTTCATTGTCCAGCAATTGAATGCTTCTAGGTATAAATGAAGTAAATACTCTCTTATTCTCTCAATGGCACTACAGCACTTTCCCCAGCTGGGTCTCGAGATTCTCAAACTTCCAACTTTCAGTTTAACATCCAAGGGAGAATGCAAATTCCTTACAGAACAATTCACTTACTGCTCCTTGACTAATGGTCGTAGGGCACAAAGGCAGCAGGCCCCTTCACCACCCTATAAAGGAGAGAAGCCGTGCCACAGTCCCAAAAACAGCGAGATTCAGACTCTGCATTCGTGAAATTTGACATGCTCCCTGACTAGAAGTCGTGTCGAGTCCTGAAGTGCGACGCCGGGTGTTGGCAAACATTGACATGAACATCTTCAGTCCCAGTGATTGAGCCCCCAAACGCATTTAAAGGCACTCAATCACTCAAGTCTGATTACCCAAGACCAGCGTAAATAATGTGTCGAAAGGGCTGACTTTGTCTCTCCAGGTAAATCTAAAATCCTGAATTTTCTTCACCATTTTGCATGCAGTAATAATAGCAAAAAAAAATATTTTTTGGAGCTGTCGGACTTTACTTTTGGTGTGACATTATTTAAGTCACATTTTCAACCTTCTCTTGTGTTATACTGAAGAGAGAAAAATTCTTCCAGGATTGTATATCTGGATTTAATTGTCGCAGCATTGTTGTGCGTTTCTAAAAATGCAGCAGCAGCTGTCATTTCACCTTTGTGGGTCGTTTCACTCTGTAGTTCCCCTTTTCAAGTTCAATTTTCCTTTAAGACCTTGGAAATAATTGAGATTTTTTTTAAGAAGTGAAAACCCCAGAACGTTCTGATCTTATGTTGTGTACCTGGGTGTGGGATGTGGAAAGCACCCTTGTGCAGATTGGTGCAGTTAAATGTTCAGTTCCAGCTTAAAAAGCAGCTGTGATGTGCTGTGTTTAGATGAGATGAATCCATGTACGGTTTCTAAAGTACAGATTTTCTGTATTCGTATTTTGAAATGTAGCTAGTTTGGAGTCTATGTTTGAAATGTTCTATTTTCTGTAACGGGGCTGAATGCGATATCCTTACTCTCTGTAACGATCCTGAGGAGTGCAGCGCTGTAATGTTCCATACTGATCGGGTGAAGGGATGTGCTTTGTGCTTTTTTCCATGGGAAAAAAAATCATATTGCTTTTTTTTCTTCTGCATCACTAAGAACACAATGTTCCGCCATGGGTATCTGTCCTTGATTCTTTACGAATCCGTATCTAAAGATGCAGTTTTGTTGGCAAAATAGAATGTTTCATTTATTTTTGTTTTCGATGCCAAACCTTCCCTGGGTGTAGAAGCTCCTATGTACATCCTAATCCAAGCTCTGATTTCTCCGTGTTTGTGCAGGATGATTATGTGGAGGCACTGGGGAGATTGCACCTCACCGTTTCCCGGGCATACAGGGTGAATCCAGAGATCAATTTTGAAGTGTTCATTCACAAGGTGGATGGTTTGTCTGATGACCACAAAATTGAAACCCAAAGAGACATCCATCAGAGAGCTAATGATGACCTGGCTGACGCTGGTCTAGAAAAGCTTCACCTCAGGTAAGAAAGCTTCAGGGTAGGAAGAGCATCTGTGTGTTGCCGTACATTGCATTGAGCTAGTGTCCTGCAGCATTTGGTATTATTGCTTATGTGCCTGCTGATCCAAGTCTCTTTATTGTATTGAAAAGCAAGCCACACACACAATGTTTGGTCCCAGGCTGTAACTTTACAGTTGAAGTTTGTGCAAGGTTTGTTTTTAGTTTGGTCCATCCATCCATTTTCTAATTACTTCATCATGTCATGGGGGAACCAGAGTCTATCCCAGCAGGCAGCGGGCACAAGGTGGTATACACCCTGAATGGGATGCCAGTCCATTGCAGGGCACACACAGGCACAAACATGCCGCCCTTGCATGTAGACCAGTTTTCCCAGAAGTCAATTAGCCAACCATGTCTTTGGACTGTGAGAGGAAACCGGAGCACCCGGAGGAAACCCATGGAAACTCGGGAAGAACATAGACCCGCGCTCCACACAGACAGCACCCCAGATTCGGAGATGAACCCAGGGCCCCAACGCCATGAGGCAGCATTGCTAACTACTGTGCCACCATGATGTTCTGCTGGAAATGAAGTGAATTGCTGTCTTTTTAGCTGTGGCATAAAACCTTGTCTAAAGGCCCTTTCTAATGGACCATGCGGTCTGTTTCTGGAGGGTGAAGTCTTCCAGTCAAAAATATAGTCTTAATAAGACACTGTGAAAGGGTTGTAAGACTGGAAAATGGCCACTTACAGTACAACACTAAAGCAGTTGCGTGCTTTGCTTAGTGTACAGCAGATTTTCTGACTCGGGTTCAGAGCCTTGAGACTGTTTGTAGTGTACACATGTAAATACTCTGGGGAATGAAAGCTATTGCTCGTCTTCACCTCTTTCACAAGTTGCAGCACAGAATCATGCAATATCATGCTGGTAATGGTATATGGGCACTCTTAACATGATTTCCTAACACTTGTCTTCTGGTTTCTTCACATTTTCTCTCTTACACTGAGTATTACTTATGGAGATGAGTCAGAATTGTGACATTACAACAAAAGTTTGAGGTATTGAACATTTAAAGCGTATTAAATTGAAAAGCGATAAGCATGTAGCAGGATAATGTGTCTGTGGTAAAATGTTAAGAAAAGGATATTAATATTGTGAAAGGTGATGCTTAAATATGCATTTAAGGTTTGGTTTATGTAATCGGATTAGGTCATGGCAAAGAATTAGATGGTTGGTGTGTTTTAATCATTACTGTTAATTCCTCAGAGCCCCACACAAAGAAAGGATTAGGAATGGTTTTTAGTCTTCGTTGGTTTAGCACTTAAGTTTTTCAAGGAAAAATAAGAAGGCATGTAGATTTAAGAGAAATTATACTCAAAGTCCATTTCTTTATTTTTCTCACTGTGGGGCTAACTGATTTCTTTAAGCCTTAGAAAATGTGATGTCTGTTCAATTTAACATAATGCTGCTCTCTGTTTTGATAACTTCATCTTCAGCAACTTTGAGCTGCTTGATTGTGAATTCATAAGGTTTAGTTCCAGTTAACCACAGAGAGACAGATGTGTTGTAATTGTGGGCATTAAGACTGGACAAACTTTATGTACCAAACTTTGTACAGTTTGGCTTAGTAAATCTAAACTGCTGCCAAAGTGCACTGTGGTCTTGGTATATTGCCTTGAATTATTTTGCGTGAAAGGAGTTTCATGAAAGGGAATGCCTGTTTTAAATGGCGTATAGTCCATTTTTTTGTGTTTTTAGGTTTAGTTTGAAATATTTTGGAATTAATCCAAAATATAGTTTCCTTTGTTCAGTGTGTGCTTCTTGTTTGCTCCCTTCATCAGTGTTGTCTATATAAGTGCATGCAAATGATTTTGAACGAAGAAATCTCTAAGAGTAAGAGATGAAGCTGTTCTGGTTAGTAGGGTGATCATTGGAGAAGTTTTGAAATGACCAAAATATGTTTTTACTTGTAGCTACTTTGGTAGCCTCCAGGTGGAAAGCAATTAAAGATATTACAACGTAGGGGGCAAATATAGGTATTGAATATATCAAAAGGTTTCTGGTCAATGGCCAAGTGATGTTTTGCTTGGGCTGTTCACCAGCTCTTTTCTGTTCTGTTTCTGCAGGTTTTGTTCTGTCAGCAATGGAACCTGGGATTTTAATACCGTAACCTACAAGGTTCTGTTTATTGTGTTTATCTCCAATATTAAGCCATAGCTGGTTGGGTTTTCTGGCTCACCTTGCAAAAAAACCACAGTGGTAGGAGAAGGAATTTAAAAAAATAATCTGGTGGATTTAAAACCAGTGGATTTCCTTTCTAACTTTGACAACTTCTGTTTATTATTGCAGCTTTTACTTGACGAGTATCTACGACCATTCAATATTTGAAGCTTTCAGTAAAGTTGTTCAGAAGCTCATCCCTCAGCTTCCAACATTGGAAAACCTATTAAACATCTTTATATCGGTACGTATGGATAGTGCAGCATGTTTCCTTGTGTAAGAGGGTGTCTGACTGCAAAGGAGTGCTGAAGCCAGTGAAGTCCATGTGAGATCAGTGAGCCCTTCTGGTGCAAAAATGGGTTTCAACTTCTGCCTGCTGATCTAGGTTTGTGTTCCAGTTCCTGTGAGTTTACAGCCCGGAGCGTTCCTCAAAGGAAGTATTTTATGTACATAAGTATAATCCTTATATCAATGCAGTTTTACTCTGCACAGCTGCCCATTTGGACAGCAGATTTAAAGCTGCATAATGATCAAGGTAAAATCAAGTTTTAATCTATGTGGTCTGTTTTCCTATAACAACATTAATATCTTAAGTATAGTGTTGTAAACGGTCTTAGATGTATTTCTTTCTGAAGACCGGAGTTGAAGATTAATGAAATGCAGTTCAGTAACTGAATTGTTTTTTTTTGTGTCATGCATTGGTGATATACATTTCCTGGTGGTCCTCCTGGTCTTTTTCCTTAAGCATAAGCTCTTCTTTCCTTAATTGGTCTGATTATTTACATGGGGAAATGTACCACTTTTGTCAAGACTGAAGGAAGTTTTAGTGTTGCTGCCTTTATTTCTTTTTTAATTTGGCTTCACAAAGACCTTGAAAAGCTGGAATGAGAAATACAAGAACTAGCACCTGAGTATGAGAACCCTGCTGTGCCGAATGTTAAATTAAGTTTTTGTTCATTTTGTCTTAAATGTGCATAAATTAACATTTCAATATTTGCACCTGATAAAACAGGATAATATCACTTGATCAATTGAAACAACTTTGAAAACGTACATATTGGAGCAAAGAAATCGAATGCGCTTACATGTTCCTTTAATGACAGTACATGCCTGTATTTCCTGGCCTTAAAACCGTTAGTAACTTCATTGACCAATTTCTCTTTCAACAGAATTCAGGAATTGAAAAGGCCTTTTTGTTTGACGTTGTGAGTAAAATCTACATTGCAACAGACAGTTCTCCTGTAGACATGCAGTCTTATGAACTGTGCTGTGACATGATAGATGTGGTCATAGATGTGTCTTGTATTTATGGGTAAGTTCTGTATTTTTAATTACAATCTGGCTTTTTTGGGGGACAGTGGAATGAGGAGTCTTGTCTTGATATCTGGCTTTTGAATTGAGTGTTTTTTCACGCAGTAGGGTGAATCAATTTTCGTTGGAATTATCGTCCTGTACAGCCATTGTGAAACAGATAATTTTTTTCTCTTGTTGTTTCATTTATTTATAATTTATGATGATTCATTTACAGAGTTTATCTCTTTAGTGAATACAGAAAACAGGCACAGCGCTGTAACCTAATCCACAGGTATCAAGTTAAATATTTATTTTAGAACTTTTTTTTTCCCTCCAATAATGGCTACATTCCTTAATATTCTCTACTTAAGGGAGTAGTTGAAATCACCATTAGATTTTTTTTGTGCTTGTACAAGTGTGATTCCTGTGAGATTGGTTACTTCTGCTAAAATTTGTCATGCTGACTGATTTCAGCACCAAAAGTAATCTGAAAGCTCTCAAAAGGTGATTCTGAATAAGAAGTGGGCTAGGGAAGTATCATGATACCGCACTCCTGTCCAGATTGACCCTTTCCTTCTGCTTCCGTGCCTCGTGTTTTTTTTTTATCTTGTGCTTTGCTTTGAGGAAGATTTTTGGAAACCTCATTCAGGTGGGACGTGAAAGAGCAGTATTGAAATGACAAATCATTACAAGGTCTAAATCAATTAAGAAGTTTGCAAAGCAAAATCTAATGTTAAGGGAAGTAAATAAAACAAATGAGTTTTGTGTGCTATACAAATGTCATTTAAAAAAAATTCCGTTTTTTTCCCCCCTCCCCCCATGGTGTTTTCTGTGCGTGTCTGCTGCTGGTGGCTTGTAAGAGTGATGAAGATGTTTCTTCTTGTTGCCAGTCTAAAAGAAGATGGTAGTGGAAGTGCCTATGACAAGGAGTCCATGGCCATCATTAAACTCAACAACACAACTGTCCTCTACCTGAAGGAGGTGACAAAGTTTCTTGCACTCGTCTGCATTCTAAGGGAAGAAAGCTTTGAACGCAAAGGTAACGATCAAGTCTCGTTTGTTTGTTTGAGAGGCATCCAATCATTAGGCATTTAAGGAAGTTTTCTGCTTTGGTTTGGCTCGCTTGTCTAAATGGCTTGGGAATTCTGGTTGAGAGAGAAGAGCGCCACCTACTGGGTCCAATTAACCACGGCAGCTGCCCGTTTTTTGCTCATAGGTCTCCCATCCCAGTATTCAGGCCCAACCTAGCGTCTCTGAGCCGATGACCTCAGATTACAGGATGGGGATACTATGACATCCGTTTGATTGATGGGAAACATTTCCTACTTCTCTACCGGAAGGACGAAGTGGGTCCTCCTCTTTATTAAAATTTCTAAAATGCTGCAAGGAACAATTTGCTACTCGGCCCTCAGAATATTTAGACTGGAGTCTGCAGCTTATGCAGAGACCACATTGATTCATTTGAAGTCTTCATCCATGAGCAGGGCTGGTCATCAGTGAGAATCTCACTGACCCCTCAGAAACCCAGTGGACATTCCAAAACCACTTTTGTGGTGTTTTTGCCTCAGCTGAGGCTCTTTGAGATTGATGACAAAAAAGCATCTCAGGAGCCAGCATCAGTATTCTTCATTGTTGCTAATTTTGCTCGATAAAGGGGTGTTCACAGGAATGTGAAATAGCCTAAAAGTTCCTTTCTTGGAGTTCGTATTTGGTGAATACACAACAAATTGCCACACAGTGATATTCCCGCTTTTTGTAAAAGCATGCATAGGATCAGAGGATTTAAGCTGTCGTAGCTATGACTTGTGAACCAGTTTTGCAAATGACTAAGGTTTAATATATAATATATAGAATGTGTAAGTTAATACTTTAAATGGGACCTGCAGGGCTGTTTTTATCTTGCTGGGTTAGAAAGAATCAGAATTGATGAGCGCATTTTAAACCACAATAAAAGTAAACCGTAACTACAATAACTTGTAAAATCTCCAGTTTGCATCAGAAAATTTCCAGGTATGTGCAGCACCATGTTCTGTGATTCAGAATGAGGCAAAACGTACACTGACATGATGCTGCCTTATTACGTTGTAAACCGGCAGGCTTGTGAATACATCTCTTTTAATCCAATAGGAATATTGCCTACAATTTTGGCACAGTTTTGCCAACAAATACTCAGCTCTTGTTAACTCTGCGTGTAGATCACGTTGGAACATTTCTGCGGTGGAATATCTGCTACATAACCTGTACAGAGTCGCTCGTACGTCACAGTACATTCGTCATTGTGGAAACAAGTGAGCAGGAAGGGCAGCATCACACCGCAATTCATGGGAACACGAATGCGAGTTTGCAACAGCATGGCAACTTGCAGTACTTTCAAAAACATCATGATTTTGTGCTTAATTTGAAATTCTTGTTACTGAGATTTAATAAGTGGTCTGAGAAATTGGGACTGCAGTTCCCCTTTTCAAGTTAATGCAAGTTAAATTCTCTTATTTCCTTTTCCTTTATGCACCTGGAATTGCTTTTTAGGTAGGTGAATTGGCAGTCCCATATCAACGGAATCGTCCAGAAAGGTTTTTGGGGTAACGATAATGCCCGTGCCTTTAAAAGGGATGATCTGAGGCGAATTTTTTAAAAAAGCCCTCAAATGGCAGGTTTTCTCTACAAGTCACGTCTCCCCTCCTGGTATCTACCAAAAGCTTTGTCTTGTTCTGCTGCCGACTTTAAATTCCGTCTTTTGTTTCCCCAGGTTTAATAGACTACAATTTCCACTGTTTTCGCAAAGCCATCCACGAAGTGTTTGAAGTGGGGGTCTCCACCCAAAGAATAGGCAGCCTCCAAGCCAACTCCCCCGCCCTGAAGGCAGTGGCCCACAACGGGACACCTCGGAATGCCCTTTAGAGAGAGACGGGCGAACAGGACTCGCTGGTGCGAACCACACCCCCCCAGTTCGAAGCCTTGCGCACAGCCCTCCCCACAAAGACACGGGCGACATTGTGAATGGACGTGGCTATTCAGACAATTCCCGCTTATTCGGCGAGACCATGAGCAATGTGACCGCTGCGGACGGCGACTGTGCAAGGCACTGTGCGCTGGTCGACAAAGGAAGATTGAAACAAACAAACAAAAAGAAACTAACTCGTCAAACAGAACTTTGAAAGGCCTAACTACTGTAAAACGCGCTTTCTAAGGTGTAACATTAGCAGGTCAGTCACCGGTCCTTTTTGGCAGAAAGGAATTTGACCTATTTTGTTGGTTTGCTAAATTAAATATGAAATAATAATATAACTGGGATAAGTATGAAGTGTAACCCTTTGCAAACTACATTTTAAGCAGTGTAAGATGACGTTGCCTTTCCAAAGGTAACCTCGCAGACCACGTTTAGGCAGTGTTGTCAAAGTATGCGTTGTCTCCCCAGCTCTCTGGTATTTGGGTTCCTATTTTTTTAAATGTTTTCTAAAGAATGTACCAAGGGAATAGTTTCCTTTTTCTCGTGTAAAGCCAGGATCGTGGAAACAATAGTTTAGAGTGACAGCCGTGCAATATCTTATTCGCGGTTTCCTGACAGCTTCCCCTCAATGTGCCGTAATGTGAATTGGCTTTGAATGGACAGCTTCACAAAAAGGATTTTCTGGGTGTTACTTTCATTCTGCCAGGAGCTGTGTACTGTATGTTTAAGGTTCAGGAGTGGTTTGGTGAGAAAAAACAACAACATGTTGAATCCCATTCCAGAGTATGTGCAAAATGTTTCTCTTGTTTTCTATTGATATAACATTTACATCGTATTTTTACTGAAAAATTCTAACCCTTAACGATCATGAATCTCGTGTTCAGTCTTGCCTTGACCACAAGAAATTTTCCTCCCCAAACACCTGCATCATAAAGGACTCTGTAAGTGGTAAGTTGTTACCTGTATCTTAGCCAAAAAAAAAGTCTTTTTGTGTTGATTTATTTAAGTTCAGCCAAAGGTTTTACCTTGCACAAAAACAATAAACACTTGCACATCTAAATCTAGGCTTGTGAGTCTTGTCTGGCGTTGTATGCAAGATCTCTGCTTACAGAAGGTGGTGCTATTTTACCATTTGGGTTGAACTGCAAAGTGAGAACCTGCAGAGTTTCATTGTTAACTGGGTCCAACAACTATATTACTATTTTGTTTCTTTTTGCTAATATAATTTACATATGTTTGTGTTGTGTATTGAATGCATTAAATGCTACAATGTATGTTAAGAGCATCAATAATTTGCTCAAGGCCTTTATAACAGCTTAGCCTGTTAATAATACAGCTTTAGTTGAGGTGGGAAAATAAACTGAGCTTTTCATTTACCTTGATCGGAATTCTCAAAACCTTGATCACGACAACCATTTGGGAATTTTAATTTGTGTCGTAGCTAATCACATGAATCAGTCAAATCTTGTTGACTCATTTTTGAGTATGGCATGTCATTAACATAATCTTTTTCCTCTCTGTACATCTGTGAAGCTGAAAGTCTTGGTTTTGTACTACAGACTACCAATCTTTCAAGAATAACTGTTAAATTTGAACTATTTGGCTTAAATGTCAGTAGTAGGTCATCATATACTTTTCTGCAACCTGTGCAGCAGTGTACCGTCTTAGTTTGAATAATTCTGGTAAAATGTCCATTTTTATTCTGGTCATGGGGAATCCATGTCAGTACTACACATTTGCCATGAGATTGTACTGTGGTGACGATTCCAAAGGGATCTTATTAATACTTACCTTTGTGCAGCCAGCAGCCTGAAAGTATTTGTTTTAATGTTTGGTTAGCAGTCTTTTGTTTTTATATGTCTATTTTACCCACTGCTTTGAAGTGTGAAAATATAATTTCCAATGCTGAAAAATGTACTGGTATTACAGGTTATGTACTGAAGTATCACCTATAATTAATTTAATTACATGATAGTAACACTATTCCAAAATGTGAAAGAAACCTGGAGCAGACAGCTTTTGACAGGTTTATATAAATGTTTTAAAGGATTGCTTGACAGCTGCTGTCTTAAGGAATGTCAGACCCTACATTCACGGTATTGTGATTCAGGAAGCAGTTTTTGACAGTAAAAAGCATGACATCTGTCGCAGCGATAACTGAATTTGCACAAGATAGTGGGACATTCGAGGTGAAAATGTACATCGCACCTTGATCCTTGTTGTGAGCGCTTGTTTTTGCTGTACTTGTACTGTGCCTGTTCTCAGTTATGTCTTTCTAAAGCACAAGTGCTGCTAGAATCAGGGATGGAAAGATGGCTTGTTTCAGGGTTGCATGTTGAGATGGTATCTTCAAAGAGGTAATTGACTATTCATTTCATCATCAGTGCACAGGCAGTTGGTATTGTGCAGAATTTTCTTATTTCATTTGCAAAGAATGAGCAATATCTCTCTATCCGGTTTTGCTGCGATTACAAGAAAGCAGTTTTAGATGCCAGCCCCACCCTGCTTTAAATATAGTGTTCAATTTGTTTTCTATTGGGGTAAATCGAGCACCAGTTGGTATTAAGAAAAGTTATTTGCAAACCAAGAATTGCACAAGATGTTTTTCCTTTTGATCCTAGATCTAAGTAAATGATCAAGTAGGTTATCAATTAAGTTTTGGAACAATTTCTTCATCCATGTAGGACCTCAGTATAAACGTTAATCCTGCTCGAATACACATAATGAAATCTGGTCTTGTTTGGCTCTGACCTGCAAGCCTTGAAGCTGGTTGCTAAGAGTGAACTGCTGTGTAAGCAATGCCAGTATTCATACTCTGTGTGGAAGAAGACGACGCCTCAGTCATGTGGTTGCAAAATGATGAAGCAGGCAAGCAGTTGCCACTGCTGGTGTGTGAGCATGTGTTTTCAGCGTTGATGGTTGAGGCCATATCTTGTGTTTTATAGGACTGGTGCTACATCCAGTGAGACTTCTACCTAAAATCTGTTCACTCCTCCTTTTAATTTCTCATGATAAATAAAAATAATCCTGAATTATTTTGAAATCTGCAGTGCTGTGTGTTTCACATAAGATCTACACTTATCTAAAGATTTAAATGGACATAAGGGACGTGGCATTCATATCGCACACAACGTAGAAGGTTAAAGGTAATGCTAAAATGCAGCACTTGCATTGCAAAATCTGAATGAAAAGGAAGGGGCCCAGGACATGATTGAGAAACAATGCTACAGCTTGAAAGTCTGTGTTAAAATATACTGTTGGCAACTCTTAATTCCATTTGAGTGCTGCTGGTTTTTATGTACATGTATATTGGGGTTCTGATAGACCTGTGTGATTGGGTCTGTGTGGTTTTTGCAGATGTGTATACTGTGGTTCTGCTTGATTCAATGTTTTATTTGGACCATTGAAACAGCCAATTGAATTAAAAGGATGCTTTTATATATATATATATTTTTTTTTTGCTTCAGTTTAAGTGTGTATATATATTCTGGGGTATGAATAAATCTCACTGTCCTCAATGTTGTGATTTTTATAATTTTACTGCTGAATGGAATGAGTTTTTTTTTTTTTGAATGCCTCAAAGTGTGAAGATCTTTGCCCGTCCTCCTTTTAGAGTTCAGTTCATGCTATGTATGGTCCAGTTTTAATTGTGCAGGTGGGTCATCTAATCAGCGCTTCCCAAGCGGTATGACTCTTAACTCAGAAGAGATTATGTTTAAAAGCTTTCTAGCACTGAACCCAATATTAAACCATTTCATGTTGAAATTCTAGTCCAAAAAAAGTAATATATTTCTCATACTGATAGTAACCTAGTTTGTTTGAAATATAGGTAATAAAATAGGTTTCTGCAATATCAAGGCTGATTTTAAAAGTGTTTGGTGTGCTGGAAGAAGTTTGGGAAGCACAGCTCCAGTGCATTTAGTGTGGAGTGTGTGTGGAAGCCCCCTTTTCTAATCTAAAATTGTTCAGTCTTGCCATCTCCAGTCTCGCCTAATTCAGTGCCCTGAAAGTGTTCCCATTATCGTGTGCTGTAGCAATTACTGTCCTTTGGATGAGATGTTAAGTCAAAGTCCTGGCTGTTTTGATCCTAGATCCTAGGGTGTTATTCACACCCTAGGATGGGGTGTTGACCCCAGTGTCCTGACTAAATTCCACTCTGGGCTTCATCAGTCCGGCCTCTCTTTAATTTAACTGGTGAAGGAATGTCTCGCTTTTCCACCTGATATCCTGTCTAATAGTGCATAGTGGCTGTCTTAACTTCACTCAAGTGGATGCTGCACTTCAGTGGTTAATACTGTGGATCTTCTATATAGGTAAAGCTTTCTGAAATCCTTAGGGATGATGATGCTACTGTATGTAAATGTAATTGTGTTCATTATGCAGCAGTGAATCTACAAGCAGAATGGTGGTGGTGTTTCTAAGAACTTCCACTAGATGGAGCTCTTGCTCTTTGGTATTCAGAACTGGAGATGGACTATCCAGGGTCCTGTTCAGGTCTTTGGAATTGTGGTAAGAGATCAAGCTTTTTGTGGGTTCTTTTAATGTCATATTCCAACTTCTGTGATCACTAACCATTGAAGTCATTGAAGGAGCTCCTCCTGGATGATACTGCTGCAACTGAAGGTTTTCTGTATGCTTCTTCCTTTGTACCCCATGAAAATGGGAAACCTTTGGAGGGCTCTACACAGTTGCAGACAATTTTCTTGCACTCCCCAAAAAGCAGAATGCTACTGTAGATTGCTTTTTGTTGATTTTTATTTCAAAGATTACTAAAAGATGTGAATAAATGTGACCCTTGGCTATCTGTACTATAGGAACAAGTAATAGGTTTATTCCATGCTGAAAAAAAGAAGAAAGAGAACACATTTTAACGTAATATCCCAAACCTATGCGACTCTTCCAGGAAACAAATTCCCGCACATTACTTTAAGGAGGTTGAGTTTTAAGAGAATTTGGAATATGTACTGAGGTGTTTTTAGACTTGGTAAATAATTATGTGCAGTTAATAAAATGATTTAAGTACCTCTGGTCTAAAACATACCAGAAATGATTGTACAGTGAGTCCAGTATGGGACATGTTTCTTTGAGTTCCATGTGCAATTTTCAAACCAAATTGCTCTGTGCAGTGGGCATAAATGACTTTTTTTTTAATTAACATGGTGTTATAGAAGAACAAGGATTGCCCCAATTAGCGGTTATAAAGTCATACATGAAATGATTAAAGTAAAATAGGAGTAGTACCAGGTTTAGTTTGTAGGCTCATTGAGAACAGGAGCCACTTCACAGGACAGGGTGAGGGAAAGGGAGAGAACAGCCCTGTTGCTCGAGTGGATTCCCTGGCATACTGTGAGAAACAACGGGATATAAATCTTCAGATCAATAAACTACTTCCAACCTAGCCAACAGGGAAGATGACATTTGTTACCTTTAACGGCGGTGCTTTTTCAGGAAACTTTTCTCTTTTCCCAATGGGTAAGAAATTGAAAAGAGATTGTCTTCTCCTTTTTTTTTTTGCAGTGGTGGTTGGATGAGGTTTAAAAGAAGAAAAAGCCTGAACACTTCTTACAGTGCGTTGCTAATTCTCTGCCAGTTAAGGGCAAATTAGCCTCCCAGCCTCAGTCATGACTCATTATGTCAGTATAGGCAGAGCACTTAACTCCACTACCATGCAATTTAGATGCAATAAAAACTGTGACAGCGTTTTTTATCCACTTCATTAAGCTACTAATTTCTTGTAAAAGTTGTACATTAATCCTCTGATAGCTTCCTGTGGTTCAGCATACATTCAGTCTCTAACGGAATTATGGCCCAAGTTGTGTCGAATTGCCATGGTTACATGTGGAAAAGTAAATACAGGGCCACTAATTCAATAACACGGTGCAGTGCTCATAATGTACCGGGTTCTTCATGCAGAACAGTCCCGTGACACAGGATACGAGAGAGCCCTGGACTCCTGAGAACTTCGTTTACGCCACCTGTAAGCAGCAGGATGGCACTATGGAGAAAGTGATATTAAAAGTCCTGTTTTTTTTTTTTTGCAGTTCTCCCATATTTCAAAATTTGTCAAGACTTTGTCAGTCAAGGCTGTTAGGTGTAGGGGAATGGGGTCAATTTCTGCTCGTTATCATTATTTTCTTAGTACATTCAATACATTTGAACATATAACTCATACCTGTTGCTGAGGAAGTGAGCCAGAAGCATCCAAAGTGTTTTCTTTCTGCTTTGGACTGCTGCTGATTTGAGGGAAAACGGCAAGTGAAAGACACTGATTTTCTTCTAGAGTCCTTGTAATGGATGTTTGGCAATCTCAACCTCCCGGCAGGAGCGAGCGCCTGAGGTGACCTTCTTATGTCATTGCTGAGGGGAAGATAAACTCCATAGA